GATGATCTCGTCTGCGGCGGAGTCCTCGGGCTGCTCCTGAGCAGTGCTCTCGTCTCTCTCTCTCTCTCTCTCTCTCTCTCTCTCTCTCTCTCTCTCTCTCCTCTCTCTCTCTCTCCCTCTCTCTCTCTCTCCCTCTCTCTCTCTCCCTCTCTCTCTCCCCTCTCTCTCTCTCTCCCTCTCTCTCCTCTCCCTCTCTCTCCTCTCCCCTCCCTCTCTCCCCTTTCCTCTCTCTTCCCCTCTCTCTCTTTCTCTCTCTCTCTTCTCTTCTCTCTCTCTCTCTCTCTCTCTCTCTCTCCCCCTCTCTCCCTCTCTCTCTCTCTCTCTCCCTCTCTCTCTCTCTCTCCGGACGCAGCCTACCGCCGAGGCGGACCCTCACCGCCACAACGCGCTAATCTGTGCGAATCTGAGTCCGTCTTTGGCGGAGTCGAGCCGTCGCTATACAGTGTATACACCCAATTAGTTTGAATCCCCCCGTCATCCATTCGCGATATCATTTACTTATCCCTCTATTTGCATCCCCGCTGCCATTGTACAATCGTTTGCTTTTGTCCGTGCGTTCCGTTCATGGTGCCGTCGGAAGATAGCGCGACGACTACTAACGCGGTGTCAGCCATTTGATTGACGGGTTCGTGTCGAGATAACTTGACTGATCGTCAGCTGGTATAACTTGCCCCAAGTTGTGTTTTATAATCGCAACACCCATCCCCTCACGCGTCGCTGCGCCTTATCTTTCCTCAAATACGAGTTTCCCGTCGTCAGGAGACATTTTTCCAGGGTGTTGCGTTTTGGTCCTTTCACTAGCTGCACGCTGTGTGGGGTGAATTGTTTATAGTCTGGGGCTGGAGCTTTCCGACGTGTTTAAATGAATAAAATACAGAGGTGCAGCATGGTGATGGGTTCTTCATGTGTCACGCGTTCGTTTCGAGCGGTGCTTTCACATCTTACTAAACTCCTTTGGAGGTTTTTTGAGAAATTTCTTCATTATACAAAACAAAAAGCTTTTGCTTTGAACTTGAGTAACTTGATACGAAGTATTTCTTGTCTTCTTGATATGTATTCTTACAAGGGTTTCCGGATTACGAAGAAAGCCTCGCTAATACCATTATTGGTTTGAAACGTTCATCACTAATGAATAGTAAAAATCACAATAGATCATTTCTCAGCAGAACTAACGAGTGTTTAACCGCGTTTAACTTTCAATTTCAACGAATGTGACATCACGTTCGTTAGAGCGTGGATTGTCAAATTTGTGGCAGTAAGATGTCACAGTCGTTTGAACGCTGTGGATCATCATTCCAATGAACATGTGACATCGTGTTGAAACGAACGCAAGACGCAATGGACATTCAAACGAACACGGCACGTCATATCGTTCATCTCAAGCTAGACATTGAACCGTGTAACCGTCTGGGCACACTCGAAATTGCCATTTCCAGCGACGGGCCGAATACGGGCAACAGCATGCGGACACCGGAGGAAACACTTTTTAACGAAGTGACCCAGGCTGCTGTGGGCTCAAGGTTGGCGAGTGCGGTGTACAGATGATGCTCGTCACGTGTGTGCGAGAGAGAGAAGAGAGAGGGAGAGAGATGGTGTGTATGTGTGCTGGTGTGAGTTTGTTGTTGTTGTGTGAATGAGTGTGTGTGTGTGTGTTGGTGTGAGCTTGTTGCTGTGTGTGTCCCAGCGGCACTGCTGTGTGCGGTGTATTCATAACGCAGCCAGCCAAGCAGCCCAAGCTGTGGCCGTGCGGCGCTAGTCGAGGCGGTAGTCGTCACTCGTCTACTCCACCGGCGTAAGTCCCGCCACGCCCCGCCACGCCCCGCCACGCCCCGCCACGCCCCGCCACGCCCCGCCACACCCCGCCACGCCACACCCCGGCGCGCCAAAAACGACGAGACCCCTTTACAGGGCAGGATGGCGGTGGAGGCGCAAACCAAGGGACCCAGGACGCTGACATCGTTGCTTTAGCGTGGCACTGTGGAGCATGCACTGTAAAAAAGGAAAACCTGCCACTCCTTTTCCTTTTTTAAAAATCCTCGTTGCTTTATCCCTTTTTGGCATGCATGTATGCGTTGAAACTGTAAAAAAGAAAACCTGAGCCCGGGCTAGCTTTTTTGAACAATAGGAAACTTTCTCTGCGTGGACGCTCTTAAAATTTTGTCGTCCCATTCAGTTCCTTTCAACAAAATGCAAATTTCTTAAATAATGCAAATTCACCCCTTTTATGAGCCGAGGCGTACTGGTTTACATTAATGCAATATACGCAAAATTTAAAAACATTACGTCACATTTCCTGATTTCAAGTGTATGCAAATGGCTGTTCAAATTCAGCAGTGCCAAACAAACTCCAATCCTCAGCACGTATTTTTTTAACGTTTGGCGCTATATTGTTGGATATGATGAGTCTATGATTTAAAGTCATAGACAGCTTTTCAGGCGAGGTGAAACTAGTCGTTTCACAGTTTTAAGGGGCGTGCGTCGATACGAATTTTTACCCGAGACTAACAAAGTCGCCCTCGTTTACGTAACAACTCGTCCTAAAACTCTATTGCATTATCAACAGTAGAAAAGTGTAGCCAGATCTTCAATTAGTCGGGTTTAAAAGTTCCTTTGCTGATGTGCTGTTTACCTTGCCCATAATGTAGAGCAAGCAGAGCGGTAGTACACAAGGGTCTCGATCCACGGGAAGTCTGCTTTCAAATGGGACGTGATTTTCTCGTCGCAATGAACTGTCAAGGTTCTTTGTCTTCCGTTTCAAGATTCGACTTTCACCGCGTGCTCCACGAGATAACGACTTCCACTGCGTGATTCTGTGCGAATCCAATGGAGCGTTCCCCATTCATGCCTGTGGTGTGGTTTTGAGACTGCTTCAATGTGCGAGAAAAACTTGTCCCTTTCACGGTCCCGGCGCAGCAGTCGTCTGACTCCGAGGCGCCGTCGCTCTGTCTCTCTCGCACCCCAGCGGACCGCCCGATGGGTGCGAGAGAGACAGAGCGCCGCGCGTGCCGCGGGATAATGCCGCTGGCTTTAAATGGGCTGCCACGTGGCGCTGCTAAGCGGAGGGAAAGAATGCAGCCGTCTTTATATCCATATTCATGGACTCTCACACTCACACGGCAAAGTTGTAATTAAATAAATAAAAAGTGGGTCCTCACACTCACCTGCGCCCAGGAGGTAGGCCGGCCCGGCCCGCCAGCCACACAATGTTATTACAGCCATAACTTGCACTCATAACATAATTTCCGTGGAAGGGCTTGGGCGGGTGGGTCGGTGGGCCCGTGGAGCCGAAAGGGGTGGGAGGCGTAGTAAGGACAAGGGGAGCGGAGGGGGAGTGGGCGCAGGCGGAATGGAACCGCCGAGTCAATGAATCTATGAATGAATGCCTCTCGATTGTTGTACCTTGCTGCCTCATACACGTACACGCGTTAAGCCCTTTAAACCTCACGAAGTATCTTGAGCAAATGTCACGTACAAACTACTTAGTTTCTCATACGAAGATTTAGTTCGTAAGTTGCGAACCATTTTCTTTGTGAGATTCGTTTGCTAAAATATTGTTGACAAGCTTCTTTTGTTTGTGAGGCCTAAAATAGTTTGTAAGGCTGAGAGAGTGACCGAGCGACGGTCTGCCCCACACTTGCAGTCGCCATAGAACCATGGAGTGTGGGACTGGGGCAGACCGTTTGTCACACTTCCAGGTGTGAGCCATTCGATGTCTCGCCGAAGACATGAGTGTTTCACACTTGCAAGCGTGAGTCATTTTAGTTCACGTAAATAGGTGTGAGACTGCCCAGCACTTGGATACTCTACAAACTGAAGTGTGTACTCAGTATGCATCTACAGATGCATACTTATAAGTACACACCTACAGATGCATACCTAGCTGAGTACACATCTACAGATGCATACTTGACAGGTATGCATCTGTAGATGTGTACTCAGCCAAGTATGCATCTGTAGATGTGTACTTGATACTGGGCATACATGGTTACAAGTACACACCTACTAATGCATACTTGCCAAGTATGCACCTACAGATGCATACTTAAAAGGTATGCATCTGTAGATGTGTACTCAGCTAGGTATGCATCTGAGGTATAGCTTGTGTGCATCTGTAGGTGTGTACTTATAAGTATGCATCTGGAGATGCATACTGAGTACACTTTCAGTTTGTAGAGTATGCAGTGCATATAGTGCAAATCGACACCTCCTAGGAACAAGCGGCTATCTTCCAGGAGCTTCCAGACACTCGGCTATCTCGCAGTAGCTTTCAGACACTCGGCTATCTTTCAATAGCGTCCAGACACTCGGCTATCTTTCTGAGCGCTTCGGAGACTCGGCTAACTGCTTTCCCCACTTCCCGAGTAATTGGGTCGTATATATTTAAACCAGTTGAAATGCCCTCACCGGGACCTAACCAAAATGTGTCAAAAGTTTGTCAGAGTAGATTAAAATCATGGCGTCGTAGATGTCTTGATATGGAACAAAGAAAAACGCTATCGAAAGGACAACCCTAACCTCTCCGCAGAAGTCAGTTAGCCGAGTCTCCGAAGCGCTCTGGAAGATAGCCGAGTGTCTGGACGCTATTGAAAGATAGCCGAGTGTCTGGAAGCTACTGAGAGATAGCCGAGTGTCTGGAAGCTCCTGGAAGATAGCCGCCTGTTCCTAGGAGGTGTCGAAATTTTCCGAGGGGTTATTCGCTCTCTGAACCTGTGTACCGACTATTACGCTATTACGCTCTATTACGCCACAAATTAATCGGAATTTAGCTAAAAACGGCACCAAAATTGATAAAATTTTGACAATTTCGGCTATTACGCGACTATTACGCGCATTATTACGCGTGCTATTACAGATAGAGTGAACCGACTATTACGCGAGTGCATACCCCCTCGAGATTTTCGTTCCCCACCACACTGCAGGCTGCAGGCCCGTGAAACAAAGAGCGCGCGACAGTCGTTGCTAGGAAACTGAAGCGCTCGGCATGATTTAACGCGAGGCGAGCAGCGTGCTCCGTTGTTTATTTACTGCGTCCGTCAGCGCACCGCGGCAGCATGTCGGCGTACTACGGGGCCACGCCGGTGCAGAAAATTGGGCACAAGCAGCAGATGTGGCAGAAGCTCGAAAACTTCACGTATGTAAGTGTCGCTGTCGCATCCGGTTCGTCGCCTATTGGTTTTGAAACAGTGTCATGCAATGGACGGAGGACAGCGGGTGTCTAGGCAGCGGGTGAGAATTCCTGTGTGTGAGGAAGAGAGAGAGAGAGAGAGAGAGAGAGAGAGAGAGAGAGAGAGAGAGTATAAAGTTTAAACCTGACTCCTCAACACGTCACACTAAATTACTATGTAGGTTTTTCTGCGCGCTAATGCACGAAATTAAACATGCACTTCGTAACGCACGAATTCGTGCGCGAAAATGCACGATTTTCTGCATACTTGCGCACGAAATCGTGCATTGTCGCGCACAAATTCGTGCTTTACGAAGTGCATGTTTAATTTCGTGCATTCGCGCGCAGAAAAACCTACATAGTAATTTAGTGTGGACGTCACAACAGTCGGCGAACGACAGTGATGTGCGACATGTTGACATTTTAGCTGCAGTGACTCATTCTTCTTCTTTTTTTAAACTGTCGCAGGATCCTGCCCTACTGGAGATGGAGCCGCTGACGTTCTTCAACAACCGCAAGAGCGTGGCCCCCGTCAACATGTACGACTGCCGCTTCAACCAGCCGGACGGCTGGGATCAGCGCAAGCCGAGGTGCGACCGGCGGCTGGTCAGCCACGTGCACCCCGAGATCTACAACGAGGTCAGTCAGCCCAGCCTTGGTACAATTGTCTCCGTATGTGACTTCACACCATTTCCTTTGTGAACGCACTGGCAAACAGGTACGGAAAATTCTGTTAATTCTTTTGCCAAGGTTCTCCGTAGGCTTTTACAGTATCCTCCGTACGACCGCACAGTCTTCTCCGTAGGACCGTACAGTCGTCTCCGTAAGACCTGGAAGACTGTATAGTCCTACGGAGATCACCGTGAGGTCCTACGGAGAATACTCTACGGTCCTACGGAGAATACTGTAAGGTTCTACGGAGAGCAGTGACAAGGGGGTTACGGAGAATTACTACAGGCTGTTTTCAGGATTTTCCGTGGCTTTTTGTCACAGAGAAAGGAGTCTTTTTTTCAACTCCCGTATAAGCGCCCATGTTTTGCACGACCAGTCTTGGAAAGAAACACGCTGAATTGAGCAGTGGCAGGTCCAGAAACGGCCTGCAGAGAGGAGATTTCGGGGGGGGGGGGGGTGTAAAGACGCAAGGCACAAACAATTTTCTGCTGAGAGGGACCAAGTGTTACTCTGCGCCTGCCTCTGGCTCGGGTGAGAACGTGGCGGAAGGTTTTATATTTCGACACATGTTACACGGTAAAAATAAATGTCTCCCTCAGCCTGCCTCGGAAATCGATCTGGTGTTTCCGTAAACTGCTGGAACGTAACCTGAGACAGTTGACTTTAATCTAGTTATAGTTTCATTAAATGACTCTTTCCTGTTTAACTGCATGTGTAAAAAAAGTGAAAAAGGCATCAATTTTTGTGATAGCCTTCGAAGTGACGAGACACCTGGTTCAAGTGTGTCTCGAGTTACTCCAAAATTGTGTCAACTTACCTCAGTTTAAGGTAGCGCTTATTCTCCGAGCATAGAAGTGAAACCGAGACGCTCTTCCGAAGCACGCCTTGGTGGGTGGGTGTGTCATGGTCGGTCTCTCTCTCTCTCTCTCTCTCTCTCTCTCCTCCCCTCTCTCTCATCTCTCCCTCCCTTCCCCCCTCTCTCTCCCTCCCCCCCCCCTCTCTCCCTCTCTCTCTCTCTCTCTCTCTCTCTCTCTCCCCCTCCCTCTCTCTCTCTCTCTCTGTGTATATTTGTGTAGGGCTCTCCTGAAGTTCCCCCTCCTCTTATTACAATTCACACCTGTAATCAAGGCCCAATTCTCGGGGACGTGTTCATTGCTGTGCACACGGTCCAATAAAGCTCGTTGGCAGGAGGAGCGCAAAGTGGTGCCGGTCACGTGGTCTTTGTGGCACGGCCGGCCCAGCCTGGGGCAGCTCGACGTCCCTGGCAAGGAGCACGCCCGTCGTCCGCAGATAGTCACCTTCTACCGCCGCTTCGGACTCAACCTGCAGATGGAGATGGAGCAGAAACCCGTACGTACACTGTTCTAGCTGGCTACGGCACGAGTGTGGCAGAGTCCCATACACCAGGGGTCTCAGAGTGAGCATGGCTTGCGGGCCGCATAGAGAGAGAGAAAGGCAAAGAAGAGAGATAGGAGATGAAATGAGTGAGGCGGCGAAGGTGTGACACGCCGGACTCGACCCAGCCGCACGGCAGCGGCGACGGCGGCGACCCAGCGCTGCGCTGCCTCGGCCGCACGGGCTGACTGTCTGTCCTTGTTCCTCCCATATGGCCTTGTGAGTGCGAGAGAGATGCCGGCCAGCCACGGCGAGCCGGCCTGTTGACACGTTTGACAGCTGGGCGACGAGGCAGCGCGCCGCCGCCCAGCCGCCGCTGACTGAGCCTGGACCTGTGCGGCCCGAGTCTGGCCCGCCTATCTTTCCCATTGCGGCCCGCTGCGGGCCGTGTGGCACCCGAGCTCCGGGCCGGAGCGGCCCGCGGGCCGCCCGTCTGAGACCCCTGCCATACACTACAAACCTGTCTACTAAGTACACACTTACAAATGCATGCTTGCAAGTACACACTTACCAACGCATGCTTGGCCAAGTACACACTTCCAAATGCATCCTTTGCAAGTACACACTTACAAACGCATGCTTGGCGCCGTATATAACTCCATGCTAAGCATAGACGTTTGTAGGAGTGTACTAGTCAAGCATAGACGTTTATAAGTGTGTACTTGGCCAAGCATGCGTTTGCAGGTGTGTACTTGGCCAAGCATGCGTTTGTAAGTGTGTACTTGCAAGCATGCATTTGAAGGTGTGTACTTAGTAGACAGTTAGGTTTGTAGAGTGTACAATCGGAAACAACTCTGTCTCATTGTGCACACGGTTAACTTTTTTTTTCTGCACAATTTTTTACGAGGCGTAACAAGTCAGTTTCGCTCTCAATTTTTTCTTCTTCCAATTTCAATGAAGCGAGCGAAATTTCGAGTAAATTTGTGAAAAACGCACGCATGTGCCAAGTTGCGTGGGATCACGCCAAGAGTTTTTCACATGAATTTCAGCTAAATTTGAACGATGTGCAGATACAATCTTGTTGAGTTGCGGGTAAACACTGTTTTCGTTCGTTTTGAAACATTTTGGCACTCATTGAAAATAATTCTCATTTTATTTCGTTAAGTCCATTTAGAGGAAGGGTTAAAAAAAACGTTAATAAAAAAGAAGTAGTTTTATAAAACTTTTGAGCTGTTTCCGCTTGTCTTTATGAATACAATTTGAACCAATTGCGCCATTAAAAAAAATTGTGCATAACTTTTTTTTAAGGACAGGCTTAAAAGGTGCGAAACATCAGCAGCGTTCTGAGCAGTTCGTCTTTCAAAACAAGCCCCCCACCTGTCCGGAGACACCCCTACAAATTCCAAGAATAAACCATTTCCTCCCCGCGTCCTCGGTGTCCGTCCCTTCATACACCTTCTAGTGCAGGCAACGCTCTATTTGCGGCGTTTCTCCTTCCCCTTCTTCTTTTCCTTCCGTCCCCGTAACCGCCGCGTGAGTCGCCATCTCTAGAATGGGATTCTTAATTAAGATGCTAACTTAGACGCGAAAACGCGCTGCACTAATTAACGGGGAATACGAGGCTGGAGGGCTGCTTGTTACAAAGTAGAACCGCCGCGCACGGCGGCCTGACGGGCACGGCGCAGGCCGTTGGGCTAGGCCGCCCGCGCCGCCCTGCAGACTGATTCCGAGAGCCGTTTCCGTAGCTCTGTCTCTCTCGCTCCTTTCAGGGGCACCCCGTGAGTGCGACAGAGGCAGAGCGACGGAAAGGACTCTCGGAATCAGTCTGCTGGCGGGACGGACATGCGATGCCTCCAAATTTGGCCGCTGGAAGGGGGAAGGCCAACCGCCGCTCAGCCAGCAGGCTGCTTCCGAGAATGGCTTTCGTCGCTCTGTCTCTCTCGCACCCACACGGGACGCTCCATGGGTGTGAGAGAGACAGCGCGACTCTCGGAATCAGCCTGCAGGCGCTCGCTGCAGGTGCGGCCCGATATTAGCCCCGCGCTCGTTGCCCGTTCGGCGCGCTTGGAACTTTTCATTCATTAACCGATGCTGCTCGAGGCCAAGTGGGTCGTCACCGTGCCCCGTGCGGACACACAGTGGGCCAGAAGACCGGCGCAGGCGGCCAAAACTCTAGACGCGTTTTGAGCTCCAGAGTCGCTAAATGGGACTAGAACCAAACGTGTGACCCCACCAATGGATTCCTCGTTCGGAGAGCAATCCATTGGTGGGGTCACGCGTTCGGTTCGAGTCCTGTTCAGTGACTCTGGAGCTCAAAACGCGTCTGGAGTTTTGACCGCCTCCACCGGTCTTTTGGCCCACTGTGGGACAGCAGGCTGCGAGTCGTTTTCGTCGCTCTGTCTCTCTCGCACCTATGCGGCGCGCCCGTGAGTGCGAGAGAGACCGAGCGACGACAACGACTCTCGGAATCAGACTACAGGGCGCGCGCACGCTGAGATTTCCCCCAAGGACCTGCTGCCCGCTTGCCGTGGGGCGTGACTTCATCTGAAGGGTCTTGGTGCCCTCGAACAAGCCACGACGCCACCGCGACGGTCTTGGTGGCCTCGAACAAGCCACGACGCCACCGCGACGATCTTGGTGGCCTCGAACAAGTCACGACTCCACCGCGACGGTCTTGGTGGCCTCGAACAAGCCACGACGCCACCGCGACGATCTTGGTGGCCTCGAACAAGTCACGACGCCACCGCGACGGTCTTGGTGGCCTCGAACAAGCCACGACTCCACCGCGACGGTTTTGGTGGCCTCAAACAAGCCACGACTCCACCGCGACGGTCTTGGCGGCCCCGAACAAGCCACGACGCCACCTCGAACAATCCACAACACCAGCGCGGCAGTCTTGCGGTGATCTCCCCACGACTCCTTCAGCACGGTCTTGGTGGGGTCCACAGAGCCATGGCGGTGCTGCAAGCGCCTGACGACGCCTGCTATTTGGTGCGCGCTCGCTTTGGCCGTCCTTCTACACCAAGACGAGGACCACGACGGCCAGGAAGCAGGCTGCGCACCGAGAGTCGTTTTCGTCGCTCTGTCTCTCTCGCACCTGTGCGGCGCGCACCGTGAGTGCGAAAGAGACTGAGCGACGAAAGCGGCTCTCAGGTTGCTGGCAGAACTGGGGCTGCAGTCCTGCAAAAGGACGCGCAGTGGGCGAGGGGTGGATTCGGGGGGAGGGAGGGGGGGGGGACCGGCGGCGGCACCAGTGGTAAGTCCCCCGCTTGCGAGCAGCGTGACACGGCGCGGTCGAGGGTACAGCCGACAGAGCAAGGCAGGGCTGGGCAGGGCTGGGCAGGGCTCGCCTCGGACAAAGACAAACGGAAGAGAAAAGGGTCCCAAGGAAGGCGGGACGAAAGCCCTGCTAGCACCCTTAGCGCCCTCAGCCCTAAGCCCTGTGGCGTTGGGCCTAACAAAAGGGCTCCGTGGTGACCTCGACACTCTCGCCGCGCGGCCGGCCGGCCAGCCAGCCGGGCAGCCAGCCAGGCAGACAGCCAGGGCTGGCAGCCAGGGAGGGCGGCCATGGCCAGGCCGGGCGGGCCAGCCAGTCTGCCTACTCGGTTAGTCCGTCCGGGCGGCGCTGCAGGCCGGTCCCGAATAGAGCTCTGTCTCCCTCGCACCAACGCCGGACGCCCCGTGAGTGCGAGAGAGACAGAGAGCACTGTTCGGAAGCAGCCTGCGGACCCCGGCCCAGCTTGAACAAAGCGGCCGGTGCCTGCGGCTCTGGGGAGTCTCCCCTTCACCAGGTGACCGACCGCGATTTATTCCCAGGTCATCTTCTAGCCGGACTTGGCCGGCGCCACAGGCCACACGGGCCGGGCCACACAGGCCGTGCCACAGGTCGGGTCACTTTCTATTGAATCGAGCCGGGCCAGTGTCTTCTGCCGGAAACTCCGAGACTGCGATTTCCAAACACCGAGCACGTTCGACAGTTTTCCTCACATCAAATTGCACCCTTAAAACCTTACGAAGTATTTTGAGCATACATGCGTACAAACTAAATTACTTTGTTATACGAAGAAATAGTTCGTAAATTACGAAGTATTTTCTTTGTAAGCTTATGTATGCTCAAAATTCTTTGTTCTAACAAACTGCTCTGCTTTGTAAGGCCTGAAATAGTTTGTAAGGTTCTTTTCAGTGTGGTGGTTTTTGTGCGTAAGCGTTTGCACAAAAATTGTGCGAGGGGGCGACAACTCTTGAGGTTTCGGGACTAAAGATTTCGTCCTATTTTACGCCCAAAATCTTCTTGTTTTTTTTCTTTTATGGGGACACACAGAATTTCTTGAGTATTTGCCCCCTTGATTGTGCATGCGTTTCAGAACGCACGAACTTGTGCGCAACCAAGCACAAAAGTGTGCGTCGTAGCGCAAGAATATATGCGTTTTAAAACGCATGCACAATTCTGTGCAAAAGCTACGGACTAAAAAACTACTACTCCCTTCCGCCCCATCCCAGCCTATCTGAATGCATCGTAGAATCTCTTCCCTATACACTCTAAATGTTGTACGGTGAAGATCCTCCATATTATGATGAAAATGTTCCATATTATGGTGGTGCAGCTGACTTCGTAACGTACCATTGAGAATTCATTGTACCTTACAGATATTTTGACGAATTTAGTTGGTATTATGGAGAAAATCTCCACCATAATATGTTGCTGCAGTCTTTCACCGTAAGACATTTACAGTGTACGCTCGTATGCTTCATTGAGGCGTACAAGTACGCTTCAGTATAACTAGTGTAAATCTTTACCCCTTACGGGAAATTCTGGAGCCGCGTCTGGCTTTAGCAGTGTGGGCAGCCAGGCCGGCCGCACGCCGCCTGCCAACCCGGGGGTAGGCAACCCGCAGACAGCCGCGGTCGACGGGAAGGCCTGCACACAAGGCGCTCCGCGCGCTCCGGCCTTGGCAAGGCCTTGCCGCTGCACTGCGCAGCCAGCCGGACACTGGCGGCCCGTGGGAGTGGTTGGGGGGGGGGGGGGGGACGGGGGACTCTGTGTTTCTCTTGGCCACCCGAAGCCAAATGTAATCTCACATTACACACTACCCCACAAAGAACAATACAAACTGAGCACTGTGGGCGGGCAGGACCCGCAGGTGCGTTCACGATGTTGGAGTAGTGGGCCGCGCCTCCCTCCTCGTCTTTCTTATCCCTGCCCTCCTCGGTCCCTCTCCGTTCTGTTTATGCTCTATTAAAAGGCCGGGCCGCTCGTCTCGAGGGCCTCGTAGGCGGGCCGCGCGGTGCACTGGCAATCAAGCAGCACACTGTGTGCGCACTTTTCCGTTCCGCCGAATTTCTCGCATCGTGGTCACCTAACCTACACTGTAAAAAAGTCCGTAGTTTTGTACGGAAAATGTAGAGACGAAAATGGTACGGAAATACGGAAAAAAGTACGGAACGTCCGCACTTGTCCCATAAGAACTCATGGAATCGGGTACGGAAATAAAGTACGGAAGTTCCGTGGTAGGACAGGAACGGACGGTCCAGGCAAATTATTGACATGACCTGTTCCGTACTTTTTTCTCACAGTGGAGGAGAAAAAACTAAAAAATTGGTTTGATGCACCGAAAGTCATAACCAACTTTCTTAAAGTCAATTTTCTTGAAAATTCAGCCGAAATTTGCCGAAATTTCTTGAACAATCAGTGAAGTATAAACCGAAATTTAAGGAAGTTTGGCTTCAATTCATTGAAATTTGCACAAATTTTAGGTGGAATTCGAAGATTTTCAAAACCGAAATTCAAACTTATCTCTTTTGTACAAGTCTTTTCGAAATTTTCCGTGATCCTTAGTAAGGGAAGGTGGGGCACAATGGGACACTTTTCTTTAAATTGACGTACCCAACTGAATATTTGACTTAGAATGCCCCAAACCGTCCTCAACGATAGTAAATCATGTACTCTTTAAAGTGGTGGGATGTGTACTGTTGTTTTTTAATGTCATCAGGTACATTTCTTCATTTTCCCAAAACATTGCACTTGTCCCATTGTGCCCCGGTCTGGGGCACAATGGGACACCCTCTGGGGTAGGATGGGACACTGCGTTTTCTCATCGAAAAGATAGGTTTTAAGAGCTCTAAACACCGACAGGTGCAAAGTCCAATGTTTATTGACTCTTAAGACAAACTTGTGGAAGTATTTTGAGTAGCACATATACGGAAAACGCATCATACCCGATGAGTGCTGTCAACATGGAAGAAGACCTTAAATTAAACCAAGATAAAACTGCCTTCACTTGCACATTTTGCTCTGGAGTAAAAATGCAACACGGAGATTTATCAATAGTGAAGTACTCGAAGTATTTTGAAAAAGTTTTGTTTACGAAGGGGTTGGG